GTGACCCCTGCTTATTTTCTCCTAAAAAAACCCAACAGAAAATAAATAATCTGAATCTGAAACAGGTTTACTGCCAAGTAGGTTTTCACATATAAGGTATTTCCCTTGGTATTTGGGTGCATAATGCTTTTAATAAACATAGTAAGAGAAAGAAAAACGTGCACCTGTGGCCTATTTAAATATAGTCTATAATTTTTATTTGTGCATTGGGTGACTCACTTAATATTAATAAAAATATTAAATACTGATATTGACATTATGCATGGCCAACGTACACGTGAACTGAAAACAGGTGTCAACATACCAATGCAATGCACACCCGATCTAGTTTTTTTCAAGGCATGCAAAAATCTAATTTCATCACTGCGAGAAAGAACCAGACTCACCATTGTAAACAGCGCCTTCAGATCCAGCAGCCTCAACACAGTGCAGGAAAACTACGAGACACAGACACAGGGTGGACTGCACAGCGTCGAGAGGAGGACGCGCTCCTGGACGCATTCTAACAACAATCGGCTCCAAATGAATTTGCTAAACTGAGACATAAATGTGCAGTATAAACTCGCCTGGGTGTTTCACTACAGACGGGGAAAACGCCGCCGGTGTGACATCGCGATAGCTGCTGATCGTCTGGATGAGATGCTTGCAAACCACCGGGCTCACATCTCTCTTTCTTTCTCTCTCCTCCCCTTCGTAATCCACTCATGGAGAGGAGGGGCAGTGAGCTGTCGAGGTGAGGCAAAACAAGCCAGGATGTGATAAAAAAGATGCGAGTGAGCAACAAGACACTGAAATAATCATATTAGAAATGCAAAGAGGCTATTGTGGACCACTTTATGGAGCATTATCTTAATCTTAGACACTGCAAAAAAAAAATATCCTTGTAGACTAGAATTTTTATTCGTATTCTATAAATCATCATGTTTGTCTTCTTAGAGTTAAAGGTTCAGTGTGTAAGTTTTAGTGGCATCTAGTGGTGAGGGTTGCGAATTGCAACCAGCGGCTCGCGGTGCATTCACGTGCCCCTCAGATGGTCCCATTTCCCGAGTTGTGAAGTCGTTCTTCCGAACAGTGTGTGTTCATGTACTCTTAAGTCAGACTGTGGAATAAATATGAACACTACTGCAAAGATGTATTGGATCAGAACATATACACGCAGACATCTAGTTCACTCTACATGGACAGCAAACTAACCGTTATTACCATATTACAGATTACATGTTTGCAATATGTGATTTTTCACGAATCATAGTTCTGTATACTTTTTTGTCCCATGTACACATTATTTCTTTTTGCAATAAAGACCACATAAATGAACCATCAGTCACTGTTCGTCCCTTTCTTTATAAGCATGCAGGAGAAGCTATGGTGGTCGACGTGCTCTGTCAGCTCTTGTGCTAAATAATATGTATGTTCTTCTATTTCTCCAAATTTCACTTCTACTCGTACTTCTAATAAACCAGACGACTACTATTACTAACTTACTTTTTCTTCTTCTTCGTACCTCTTCATCGTTGTGACGAAATGTGCTCTGTAGAGCGGTTTCTCCGTTTGGGCTACTGTAGAAACATGGCAGCGCAACATGGCAACGTAAGAGGCCCCGGGGTGCATGTACAGTGGGTACGGAAAGTATTCAGACCCCTTTAAATTTTTCACTCTTTGTTTCATTGCAGCCATTTTCCAAAATCAAAAAAGTTCATTTTATTTCTCAGTAATGTACACTCAGCACCCCATCTTGACAGAAAAAAACAGAAATGTAGAAATTTTTGCAAATTTATTAAAAAAGAAAAACTGAAATATCACATGGTCATAAGTATTCAGACCCTTTGCCGTGACACTCATATTTAACTCAGGTGCTGTCTATTTCTTCTGATCATCCTTGAGATGGTTCTACACCTTCATTTGAGTCCAGCTGTGTTTGATTATACTGATTGGACTTGATTAGGAAAGCCACACACCTGTCTATATAAGACCTTACAGCTCACAGTGCATGTCAGAGAAAATGAGAATCATGAGGTCAAAGGAACTGCCTGAAGAGCTCAGAGACAGAATTGTGGCAAGGCACAGATCTGGCCAAGGTTACAAAAACATTTCTGCTGCACTTAAGGTTCCTAAGAGCACAGTGGCCTCCATAATCCTCAAATGGAAGACGTTTGGGACGACCAGAACCCTTCCTAGAGCTGGCCGTCTGGCCAAACTGAGCTATCGGGGGAGAAGAGCCTTGGTGAGAGAGGTGAAGAAGAACCCAAAGGTCACTGTGCTGAGCTCCAGAGATGCAGTCGGGAGATGGGAGAAAGTTGTAGTAAGTCAACCATCACTGCAGCAATCCACCAGTCGGGGCTTTATGGCAGAGCGGCCCGACGGAAGCCTCTCCTCAGTGCAAGACACATGAAAGCCTGCATGGAGTTTGCTAAAAAACACCTGAAGGACTCCAAGATGGTGATAAATAAGATCCTCTGGTCTGATGAGACCAAGATAGAACTTTTTGGCCTTAATTCTAAGCGGTATGTGTGGAGAAAACCAGGCACTGCTCATCACCTGTCCAATACAGTCTCAACAGTGAAGCATGGTGGTGGCAGCATCATGCTGTGGGGGTGTTTTTCAGCTGCAGGGACAGGACGACTGGTTGCAATCGAGGGAAAGATGAATGCGGCCAAGTACAGGGATATCCTGGACAAACCTTTTCCAGAGTGCTCTGGACCTCAGACTGGGCCGAAGGTTTACCTTCCAACAAGACAATGACCCTAAGCGCACCGCTAAAATAACGAAGGAGTGGCTTCACAACAACTCCGTGGCTGTTCTTGAATGGCCCAGCCAGAGCCCTGACTTAAACCCAATTGAGCATCTCTGGAGAGACCTGAAAATGGCTGTCCACCAACGTTTACCATCCAACCTGACAGAACTGGAGAGGATCTGCAAGGAGGAATGGCAGAGGATACCCAAATCCAGATGTGAAAAACTTGTTGCATCTTTCCCAAAACGACTCATGGCTGTATTAGATCAAAAGGGTGCTTCTACTAAATACTGAGCAAAGGGTCTGAATACTTATGACCATGTGATATTTCAGTTTTTCTTTTTTAATAAATTTGTTTTTTTCTGTCACGATGGGGTGCTGAGTGTACATTACTGAGAAATAAAATGGCTGCAATGAAACAAAGAGTGAAAAATTTAAAGGGGTCTGAATACTTTCCGTACCCACTGTATATAGAAACGGCTCATTCTAAACTAATAAAAAAATATTGGTTCATTATGTAAGGTCTTCATACATAAAACATAGTCATGTATATTATATTGCATTTCTGTCAATAGACCCTCCTAAATATTACACACTGAACCTTTAAAGCACCTTCAGAGCCACTGAAGAAATCATTCAATCGTTTTTACCGCATGAGCACTCCTCAACAATTTTTATGTTTAGAACTGATGGATTGCAGCTTTAAACTGACTATCAACAGGATGAGAAAAACATTGTTCATGCATTATTCGCACCGTTTAAATTACTTTAATTAGCTACTGCGTTTGTTAAGTATTTGGAGCTGTTTCTTAACTAGTGAATACAGTCTGTATCTCCTTGTACATTAGCTGAATCGATTGTATCAGTGTACAACAGACTTAGTTGTAACTGATAGTGATGGTTGCTTTGCAGCCATGTCGGCACCAGTTTGTTGACACTTCTGTAGTTTTTTCAACGAGTGGGGGATGTTGTCCCTGTCAGAAATACACACTATCCCAGAGGCTTACATGAACATTTTTCCCACTTGGCAGCTTGTAATTGCAGTCTGAACAAAATGATGTGAACGCAGCTTACATCTCAGTGGCTATGTAACTGTTGCAGAACTGGGTATAGGAAATATTTTAAAAGAACTATTAAATTGCAATTTTCTTGAGGTTGTATCTCATTTCCTCATTTTTTATATCTTGTTTAGTAACCCAACATGCTCAAATTTAGGCCCTGCATGTAAACACATGTCTTTAAATAACTATACCATTATCCTCAACGTGCTCAGGCTTTTATACTATAAGGCCATATGTCAAGTCGGTTTCTGTCATTAAGATAAGCATTATAATGTTTTTCCTCTTAATTGAAGTGAAGTGACTAATTCTTCATTAACTCATTATAGACGTCTTATTAAAACAAACAGCCTTCTGCGAAAGAATGTGATCCCAAATGCAAATGAAGAGTCGAATCCTGGTTACATAAAGTCCAGTACAGAAGCCACATGGTTTGAAGGAGGTCACAAAACCAAAAATACAGCCAGTAACCGAGCCTACTACAGTAACAAAATACAGTAGGCTTCTACCACTTCAGGCTTCCAGCAACCATTCATACTGAGCCGGTCACTTATAAGTGTGATGATAAATATGCCACAGAGCACATGTCAGGAGGGATAGAGTGTACGCAGGTGTGTGTGGTATTCTTAGCACTGAATCCATTCACATCTCTAAATGGTGTCCTGGCTGCAGGACAAGGCCGCTCGTTACTGCCAAGGTATTAGTTTCTGCTTTACTCTGCTTATTCTTGCCTTAGATACACTCTTTATTACTACTATGTGATATTTAACACTCTGAATTTTATTGATTCGGGAAGTCCGACTGCAAACAGTGAATTCTAAAATAAAATCCCCTCAGCAAAAAAAAACTGTTGGCCAAGAGGCTTCATGTTTAACATGCTGAAAGCTCAAGGGATGGTAGTATTCTAAATGTCATTCATGATATCAAATGAGGACATGTACAGTGTGACACTATTTGAACATGACAGTCATCATCACGCACTTTAAGCACAACACTTCCTACTTTTTAAAGGAAAGTTATGGTAGACGTTTAATATTTGAACGTCAGAATGTGTTCCGGCTGTGAGAGAGTCATCATACAAAGTCAACTGTCAAGGGCTTCAGTCTCAGGAAATGCTCTTTCAAGGGATTCAAAGATACTAAGCTTCATGGGTAGCATGTTTGACACACAAGTCACTATCAAGCTGTTTTATCATCTGTCCACTGCTTGTATGGGTCCACTTCAACCCGGGCCTGGCTTGACTCAGCTCTGCATTTGTCCTCCTGTTAGCAGTTGTCATCCTCCAGGATGTCTGGGTGTTCCTCCCAGAACTGGTCCCCTATAATGTCACAGTGGTAGGCCTGCACCCTCCTCCTGCTGCGAGTCACGGGCACGTCCTTCTCCTCTTCATTTGGCAGCTTCATGCGTTTAGTGACAGTTTCGTCTCGCTGCACGCAAAGAGTGAGGAATAAAATTTGTATAAGTTAAGGTAAGCTAACGGCCTCCTAGATGTAGTTTCATATTAAACAGGCAGCTATGAGAGTGGTAGCAATCTTTTTATACAACTACAGAAACAAGCCATCTTTTACACTTAAGCGCAATTTAACACACATCTTGCATTTCTGACTTTCTGGTTTGTTAATGTATTTTTCTTGTGAACAACTAACCCACAATACAATGTCACATGCAGGCAATGTATATGCAGCACTGTTGCAATAGAGTCCTGTAAAATTTACAATAATGCAGACCACTTTTTGGAGCATGCCACAATTTCTAAACCTGCCAGGCAGATTATTATTTTTTTATTCTTTCATTTGACTATGGTATAATGATCTACTAATAAAAACTTGGGACATTGCTTAAGATATGTATTCCTATATAGTGAACAATTTGTCACCTTTATTTTTTGTCAAGCTACATTGTTGGCATTTGGTAACGCAGGACGAGCAGGGACGTGTTGAAAAGTCTATCTTTGAAGCAACATATCTGAAATGTATACATCAGCTGCAGAATGGCAACCATTTTAATGCAACAAAGAATTGAATGGACAAAAAGGTTGTCAATGCAGCGATGTTGGAGTTTTGAAAGTGTTAACGCAAGCAATGACAATGAAATAGCTTTGATCCAAAAAACTGACAATTCTACTTTTAGTAGATGAACAGGCAGAAAAGAAATTTCAGCTTCCCAGAATATCAACAGGAAATTTCTGTTTTGCAGTCGAAACCACAAACTGCAAACAAGTGCACAAAGCTTTCCAGACTCAACATTTTCTGCAAATGAAAATGTCAAACAGCATAGGAGTTATCCAATCGAGTTTTTTTCTGTAATAACTGTGCAGACTCAAACCCCTTTTAGCAGCTTACTTTTTCCCAGATGAGAGTGGTGCCTTTCTTGTGGAGGGCAGATTCATTGTTGTAGTTGATATCAAACTCAGAGAACAGGATCTCATTTTTGTCTGCAGCTAATGTTCCCTAGAAGGAGACATTACACGGTTAGACAAATGCATGCATAATAACATGTGTGCATACAAAAATCAGCTCATAGGAGATGCTTCACTGGGTGTAGAGACCCCACTGGTTCTTCTATTGTTTTATTGTTTGAATTAGGAAATAAATTGATGCTATTATATTTGATTTGGGCATTTTTTCCTGCAAAGAAATGTTTATATAGTGATTAAGGACTAGGAAGCACAAAGGTTTGATGGGCTGTGAATGACTCATGTTGCCGAAACATCCAGCCAGAATAAACGTTTCCACAACTCGTCAGCTGTCCTCACATCATCAGAGTTCACTTCACAGGCCACTGGATTGACTTCCAGAGAACAGCTGTGTCAGTCAGCGGCAGCTGCCACAAACAGAAACAGACCTGATGTTCTATAGAAAGATGTTACCGCTTCTGTTGAATTAGATGTTATTATTACCCTGTGCATCATTGTAGGTATTGCATTTTGATCATCACATCCAAAACTGAGAGGGGACAACAAACTCATTTGTGGTGTTAAAAACCACATCATGTCTAATGGAAATAAACCAGAAGTAAATAATGTGGTGACCATGTGAATGCACACAAAAGACGGGCCAACGAAACCCACTCACAACTATACATGCAACTGCAACCTTAAGAAAATCTTGGTAACAACAAAAAGTTAAATCAAACTTTACAGAAGTACTTTTAATCACAAAAAGAAAATAATATGATACAGAGGCAGTTGAAATTTAAGATACACAAGTTGGAACAAAAGCTGCGATAAACTATAATATTCACAAACTGATTATGTTTTAGGTTAATTGACTCATCATTTAAGATGACAAAAAGTCAAAACTAATGATAATCGACCATCGAACCTTATCAGATCCCAAAGTCAGCACTCAAATTTAAGGATGTCCTGTTGGGCCAAAGTTTTCAAATTGTTTTGTTTTGCCAACAGTTAAAACACACAATAGTATCCATCCATCCATCCATCCATCCATCCATCCATCCATCCATCCATCCATCGTCAACCGTTTATCCTGCGTACAGGGTCGCGGGGGGCTGGAGCCAATCCCAGCTGGCATCAGGCGAAAACACACAATAGTATTCAATTTATAATGACTTTAAACGGAGAAAAGCTTGCAAATATTTAAAAATGCAAATGTTTGGTCTATTTATGCAATACGATTGTTAATATTGTCATTTATTTATTTCTTGTCAAGTGACTGACTGACTGACTAATCACCTAATTCCTTCACCAGGAATAATCAGTATGAGAGAACTGTTAGTGTCCATCACAAGGCAGTGGTAAGGCATCACTCTTTGATGTGATTTACAAGTAAAAACACGCAGTACACAGAGTAGTATTTGTGCACCTTTGGAGAAGTTGTATCTTATCTGTAACAACATTGAAACATTAAATAAAATATAGCTATGTTCTATGCTTTATGTTGGGAGATGCTCTGGAGATCAGGCTGATTGCACAAACCAGTCATAATAATTTAAAAATTCAACAATTAAGTAAATTTATTGGCTTTATTTATTATACAGAATTGAACTTGGTAACTGGAATCAGATGTACCTGTGCTTTGGATAAAGCTCTCTGGACTAAATGTCAGATGATCATGAATAAAGTGTTATGTCTGAATAAATGTATACATGTTTTATAACATCTAAATATGCAGGTGTTTACTCCTTATTGAACTGTTTATTAACTTTTAAAGATGGTATTGTTTGTCTCTTATTCTATTATTTATGGAAATTCAAAAAGAAAACAGCAAACATTTTAAGTAACTTAAGATTGCGTTTCGCTCTCACCTTTAAGCGATCCTCTGCTTGGGCTGTGGTGAGTCCTCCATTCTGTACTAATGTCCAAAATACTGTGTTGTACAAATTATTAATGTGACCTGAGAGACACAAAAACACATGTACAGTCGGACATCTTTAACTCTCTTCAGCTTAATGAACAACAATGAATCTAGAAGTCTAATGTGTGAATTGTTAAGCAGCTAAGAGCACAGTATGTTCTTACAATCTGCTTGCCTCCAGCTGAGGTAGTCTCTGAGGTTGCGGTTGCTCGGATACAGGACCACACGTCCATCAAAACCTGGGGGGTACAAGAGGGGCTGTTCCCCGAAAAACTCCTTCCAGTAAAACACATATGAGGAGGAGAACTGGGAGGCCACATGGGTCATGAGCTTACTGCCAGACGAGAAAGAGGGGGAAATAATATCAGACAAAAGAACATGCACGTGTGAGAAGGACATTGGTTTGTAGTGTGGCAAAACCTAAGTACCTGGCTCTCCTCTTAAACAAGGTGGAGGTCCTCTTGAAAACAAAGCTGAACTCATCACTTTGACCATAAGCGATGACAATATCCTCGAGTTCTGCCATGACAGAGCGTGCACTCTGGGTCATCAGGCCCAACGCCCTGTTATCATTGGGCTTTGTAAACTTGTGCTGCTCTGCAAACCTGAAACAAAATCAGTGCAGACACTCAAAACAACAGCATGGTTTCTAATAATGCATAAACCGATCACTCATGTCTTCAGAGATGGTGTGTAGCATGGGAAGGAAACTCACTTGTGGAAGTTGCGCCCATCCAGTCTCACAACAATGTAGCAGTTTCTTAGACATGTGTCATCTGTTTCAAAGTTGCGGACGTACTCAAACTTGCTCTTTGCCATGTTGCTGGAACTGGTAAAAAGACGGACCAAGGATTTGACTACGCAAGACCTGACACGTCCACCAAATCTGCAGGCTTTTCCAATCAGCATGAGGGAGCTATAGTAAGACAACACATTCCCAAGAAGAATGGAGTGGGAATATTTTCATGCAAAACAGGAGCGCAGCAATAAAATAAAAACACACAAAACAAAAGGACTTACACTTGGATGTCATATGTGGTGTCCCCTGCACCTAACGTGGCAGTAATCCGTGAGTTAGCTAGCCCAGTTGGAAGCGCTAATATCTAGCTATTTCGTTAGCTACACAAATATCAATGTATTTAGTACGGTTGGTAAGCTGCACGAGCGCTGTTATCAATTGACATTTACATTTATTCTAAGACAATTTTCAGGTCACGCACACGCTGGTTTGTATACAGTCCGTCAACGAATTCTGTCGTAGTAGTACCGCAGACACTACGGACACTGGTTCCGGAGCACAAGCCTGCATTTAGCAAACAATGCATTAAAAACAAATAGGTACTTGTTCTCAGTTTCTTGTTAGCCCTCTTGAAAAAAACACATTCATATATTAATTTCTTCTTGTATTACTGCATGTGATTATCTATTAAGGCAAACATATTTACATAGAAAATACCGACATGCTCTGTGTTTTAACGCCATCTGGTGTTTTTGAGAGGGGTACTGCGACCAAAGATCGTTTGTGAGGATGATCTTACGGAATTTATAGTCCAGTTGCAGGCTAGGCTATTTCCTGAGGGCGTTCGTTGTTCTTTTAGTGTGTATACATAAGTGAGCGTTACTATAAAATTATTATGGGAAATAACAAATAACGGGATAAAAAACCCGACGTTTCCAGGATTTAAAGGCGCCACTTGACTTGACTGACATGACATACTCTATGTAGTCTATGACCTTTAAAGTCTCTTGAATTAGGCGCAGAGTGAAAGCTCAGCGTCATCCGACGACAACTACTTTCCCAGGATTCCTTGCTGCACTGTGTGCTCCTCTGCGGTTGTTTCAAACATGGAGGAGAGGGAAAGAACTAATATTAAACCAGACCTTAAAGAAACGGCAGCTGCAACCTGCTCGAGTGCGCCAACAGTACCGGAGCATGAACCGGAGACAGAGCGTGAAGCTGGGGACACTGACGCGGCTAAAATAGATGTCTGCTCGGAAAGCTTCGACCCGCTCTTGGCCTTGTACTCGCCGACTGTACCGCTTCCTTTCCCAAATATCAAGTGCTTCAACAATGTGTCAGAGTACGAGAGCTTTCTGAAGGGCGGCCGGGGAAGAGCCAAGCCGGAGAATGTGGAGAAAAAGCGGCAGAAGGCGATGAAAGGGGTGGCGGACCCGGAGCGCATAGAAAGGCTGAAGAAGCTCATGGTGAACAACCCGGTGCCAACGGAGGAGGAGGGGGAGAGCAGCCGCACCCCGCAGAGAAAGAGGCAGAAGCCACAGAAAAATGTCTTGTCAAGGATGCCCTGTAAGTTCAATAACCACTAACTACAGCATCAGTACATGTGTTTTGTTAGGAGTTCATTAGAGGGACCATTCAGTGGAATACTTTTGAATGTTTGGGATTAGTTTGATAACATGCTCTCACTTGGAGCCTGCAACTACTGCACAGAAGTTGTATAGTGCCTCTCACATAATAATAAGTCAGAATATTTTTCATTTCAGATCCTTTCTCAAACCTGAAAGTAACTTGAGCTACGCTACCTGTGGTTTTTAAGGGATAAAATAATTCTCATGTACAATTTATATAATAAAAGATCGATACTTGACATTCGTGTTACGATACGATATTGCCTTGCAAAATATTGCGATACTATGCTGTATCGATCCCCCCCCCCCCCCACACACACACACACACACACACCTAGTAGTAACGTGTTTAGCCATTTTTTTGGTAGAAATCTTTTTGTGCTTCAGCTGAATTCCTTCTATAATTAATAGGCTGTAGAAAATTGTATAACCTATATGTCATGTGTTTTCAGTATGTAAAGGCAGTCCACTGGGGGAGCTGTACCGATGTGTTGAGGAGAGGATAAGGGTCAAAGTTCACATCAGGACCTTTAAGGGACTGAGGGGAGTGTGCTCCGGCTTTGTGGTTGCCTTTGACAAGTTTTGGAACATGGTGAGCTCTCCCACTCATGTTTTCACACTGAATCACTTGTAAACTGCCATATTCTGAATCTGAAATAATCCACAATCTACTTCTGACCTTGAATTTGATGCCTTTATTTTGGCCTTTCACCATTTGTTTTTATTCCTCTTTGTCAGGCAATGGTTGACGTAGATGAGACATACAGGGAGCCTCTGCTTGGAGAAGCATTCTACCATGAGAAGGCCCTCACTATTTCACGGGTAGGTGCTAGGTTTCATTGACTGAAACATATATTTCCTACTGAGTTAAAGTTACAATCTGTAAGATTTCAGTCCTAGATATAGAAGTCCATCTAAAATAATTGCAATCTGATCTGACTTCATGCTGCACATTCAATTTTCTGCAAAACAGCAGGATGCAGTAAACTTTACCTTGCTGAGGAGTTGGAGGCGTACAGCCTGTCCAATATTTAAAACTGATCCACTGTCAAAGATTACTATCGTCTTGTTTTGTAGATGCAGCGTTGAAAACAATTGCTGTCAGCGCCATCCTAACGTATATTGTTTTTCCTATGACTGCTTCACAATAAAAGCTGCCCTGTGTGTTTTTGCCAGTTAAAATACTTTCAATATGAATTAGCTGTATAAATGTTGTTTGCATTAGTAGTATCTTAATAAAGAACTTCCGATTAGGCAACCCACTCTACTTCTAAGCCACAGCCACTGCATTTGCACTCATGTGAAGGTAATTTGGATCACGTGTGGGAATGGTGGACCCGCCAATAACAATGATTACTATATAGATAGGTTATTACAGAATGTAAATTTGTTGAATGGCTGTTGCTGAAAAATGCTAACGGCGATGAATAGTATGGCAATAAATGGTATCTGATGGGGTTTGATTTCATATTAACATGACTGGAATCTGTGTGCAGCTCTTCGAGAAGCTGAAGCTCCAGGAGAGCTCAGCGGGTGACGAGCCAGCAAAGCGCGAAGCCGGAGAAACAGCCAGCAAACAGCAGCCTGCAAACCCAAAAGACCTGTCTGCTCACCATACTTGCAAGGGAGGGCACAGCAGGACAAAGTCCAAGCTGTCAGACACGGTTAAAACAAAACACGATAAACACACAGTCTCGCTGAAGGCCCCGGGTCCAGAGGGCTGTCAGAAGAAAGACTCCCAGATGTATGGCAAGGTCCATACACGCCACATCAACCAGCTTTTCATCCGGGGTGAGAACGTCATCCTGGTGAACCCACAGCCACTCTGATTTTTGTTTTCTGGTCGATAAAAGAAAGGTGTGCTATGACCACAATCAGTTACATTTAAGTATAGTTTTACGCTTAACATCTGATAGGTGTGAAATACTGTAGATGAACTGCCAGACAGACATGATTTAATTAGATTCAGAAGAATCAAACAAGGACTATTGTTATATCATATTGATATGGAGGTCTTTCTCTGCCCACCAGAGAAATGATCTTAATTTTGAGGAATAAAAGCTTCTCATTTCTAATTATAGTAATTTCTTGTCTTGTTCTCTTTTGTCTGACAGCCGCTAAAGGAAACGCAGGTCGACACAGCATTAGTAACTGTTTGTGTTATTGTTATTACCCAGGAGGTGGCAGCATAAACACATTAGTGCCGTCTGTGAGGCCATTGTCATCAAGAGCTTGTCCCTTTATGTTGCCTTTCCCCGTTAGTTTGAACAGGAATGACAGCGCAGTCTCAGCGGACTTCATAAATGCATTATGAATAATTGAGTTTGTGAAGCTAGAGATTGCAGATGGCACTCAAAAGCTGTCATTTGTCTTGACGTCTCAGATTGCTTTTACTCTTTAATGGCCACATTACCCATAAAAGCACAATTTACTGCATCTCATGGAAGTTGTAAAGATGCTTTTTTTTTCTTGTTTTAAATGGCAGGGGTTACTTTTGGATGATGGTTGGCACAGAATTATTCTATGTTGCTATAACGTTTCTGCCTCTAAATCTTTGGATTTTACCCCCCCCCCCCCAATTTGACTGCAGAGAGTTTAATCGACCCTCTTTCTATATATTTTTATGCAATAAATAGGACAGATTCTAGCAGCTGTAGTTCATCCATATACTATAATGTTTCACATAATGTATCAGAATATTATTAGTGTAGCCCATTTAACAGTGGTGCTCTCCAGAGAGTGAAAATGGGGTCAATTGTTTAATGCAAACTGTGTTTTAGTGGTGTTTGTCACACCAGTGTGTTCCAACAAACCTTCACACAATATTAAAAGGGCACAGTGGTGAAGAGATGGGCCACAATTAGACGACACAAGCGTATTAAAGCAGAGTAATCAGGCCGTCTATCTCATTAGGACAAACTGTACATTTCATCAGTTGAATAACTATCGAAGCATGAAGGACACAAAGTAAATAGTTCTTTAAATACAACACTAGTAGCTTTTTTAAATCATTCATAGAATGCTACACAAAAGCTTAAAATAACGAAGGATTGAGATTTCTGAACATCTGTTGGGTTTGACCTCTGCAGCTGTCACAGTAAGAATCAGTCTTATTCCAGTAAAAACATGTTTGCTGTTACGCTTTCTGATCTAGTATGTTATGTAGACTGTGATGCAGTCAGCAGTGGTGACCTATGAATCTGGTGCTCACACTCATTTATCAGCTGATTTGCATGCATTAAGGGTTTACACCACCTACATGTCTTCTCTCGGCTTCCTGCCTTATTAATGTAATTTGTAAATGTGCATATTTACTGAAGGCCCTCCTTTATTACCTCAAACAATGAAATTAAACTCGCATCAACTGAATGTAATTTCAAAGTCAAGCGCAGTGGCTTCACTTTTGCTGCTTGAAGCTCTTTTGAATGAGGCTAATGACACAGCACACCAAATAACACACACCATTAGCAAATTTCAATCAACTGTTTAATGTTGTAGATAGATTCTTGATGTGTAAATCAAATCAAAATGGGAAGAATGCAAAATTTCATTTTCTCAAAGGATTTTCTTTTTTTAACATTTGCATAAGCTAGTGTTTCAGTAATGATCCCGTTTCAGAGAAGATCAAAACAATTTAAAGTAGAAAAAAATGAATAAAACAACCTCTACTGATATTTATTTATTTTTTTTTAAAACAGCAAACAGATTTTGGTCATTTTAATGCTTCAGACTCCGATGCAAGGCTACTATGTGTTAGTGTGCTCAGCCTCTTGAGCCCTTGGGAGACCAGGAAAGCACAAGTGCAATCCTCTTGTGACCACAGAATCCGCCGCCCTCTCCTCTAGTCGGTGAATTATTTATCCAATCGTTGACAAACCAAAGAAAAAAGGCAGGCGGCCAAGATTGACTTATCAGTCACTCATTACAAGGGTCAGGAGGCAACCATCGGCAGGCACTTGAAACACTGAAGAGCAATGTTTTGTACGTCTAACAGGTCAATCAGCCGGTGTACTTCTGAATGGGCTTGTTCGTTAGGCGCATATCCCACAACATGTTCATCCAACCACCTTAACATACTGGGCGTCCACAAACTGCGTCCTCTCACACAGTCCTGGTAAGTTGCAAAAGACACAGACATGGACTGATGACGATTATGAGAGCAACATCGTTTTCAAGATTTGCTGTTTTTAATGTGTAACATTAATAAAAAAATACAAGGCGAGAAGGCAGTATTTACTGTGACGCACCGCTGAAAATTTCACAGACAGACGCATAACGCAACCTATTAACAGTCTGTACCAACACTTGAGGTGCTGAATTAAGTTGAGCTCGATATATTTTCATCCAAGGTGTTTTTCTGAGCTCTGGAGTTATCACTGCCCTGAACAGAGTGAAAATGATAAAATGGGACAAACAGAACAGAGTGATTGCATCTGATACCTGCACAGTCAGTACACTTGAGGCATAAGTAAAAAAACACAAAACAGGTATGTCCTTCACCTTAAGCACAGTCACATTGTCTCCTTCAAGAGGTTAACTGAAGAGAAAAGGCAAAGGTCTGTCAGGCACTCTGCTGTAATAAAAGAACCCACAACCCCTGTATGAGGCTTCTTCTACCTACTGATTATCTCATTTGGATGCAAACTGATTATAATCTTCATAAGTAAATATATATATATATAGCAATAGGAAAGACCACAAATGAGGGTCTGGTGAAGGAGAAACTCCTCAAATTAATCAATAACCTTCACACCAAACACTCATTTATTCCTTTGTAGCTTTAACAGGCCACATTTGGAGTGTGTGGACACTTGTGTACAAAGAGAAGGTGTCAATGTGCTTCGTTATAGGTCTTAATTCATATCAGATTTGGTTCTGTAAGATACAACTCTTCACACTGTCACTTCCTCTCATATAGGGCAACTTCATAACTTATTTTCCTTTAAAGGGCTCCGGATTGCTATTTACAGGCCAAAGGAAGAGCAAAGGAGGGGGAAAAAAAAGAAAAAGAGGTAACTTGTCATTCTTAAATGTACATTAGAAAGTTAAAATGGCTGATCATGTTATTTAAATGCAACATTCAGCAAAATTACTGAGAATGCATCTCAAAAAAATTATGTAGCTACAGATATATCTTTTTTGCTAATCTGGTGATTTCACTTGACTGAGGTTATAAAGCAACCCCCCTCCCCTGGACATTCTCTTGGTGGCTTCCCCTCTTCTCATGGTTTCACAAGTAACCGACACGGCCATCGCCCCAGGCCACACAGATCATTGGTTCAAACAACACAAAACACATTCATTTAGATCCATATCACGACACAGCATTACTTAAAAAAAAAAAAAAAAAAAGATTAGGAGATTGCAGGGTGTTGATATTGTGATAGATGACATTATTCAAGTACTCTTTGTTTGCAGCTCATAACAATCCTTCACCAATGGACGGAGGGAGGGAGCGAGAGAGACAGAGAGAGAAAGACTGACACCACCAGATAATCTTTGCTCTCCAGCTCCATCACTTTCCAAAGTTGCCGAAGTCAGCAAAGGCATCGTGTTTGGGCTGTTGGACCATTGCAGGGTTCATCCCCATCCCCATTCCACCGGGCATCCCCATGGTCATACCTCCCTGTGGCATCCCCATGGTCATACCTCCCTGTGGCATCCCCATGGTCATACCTCCCTGTGGCATCCCCATGGTCATGCCCATCCCCATCATGCCCTGGTTGGGGGCCATCCCCATGCCCATCCCCATTCCCATGCCAGCACCAGGATGCATCATAGGATTTACAGGCGGCCTGGCTGGTGTAGGTCCAAGGCTCATACTGGAAAATCCCTGGGAGAGCATGTTGGCAGGTACCTGGTTGCCTGGAAATGACAGAACAAACTCAATGAATCAAAGTGCCAATTTTTTAATCGTGTTCGAGTGGCGGTGTGCTTTGAAGGAGAGGCTGACTAAATTCATGCCAGATCTACCATTCCTCTCACCGTGTTGGAGCGTGTTGAGGCTGGGCTGGCTAGGCTTGGGTGGCTGGATGCCTGGGCCCAGGAAGTCCAGGCTGATGTTAACCGAGTGGTCTGACCAGGTGGAAGGGAGGGACGCTTTGGCTCCGGCATCTTGAGAGGCCACTCCCTGCTGCACAGGCTGGAGTGGCATGACAGACTGAAGACCCCCCATGTTCTGGAGGGGCGAGCAAAGACGACATACAATGTTAGAGAAAGCGCTAATTCATGCTAGAAGTCACAGAGATTTCATTGATACTTAAGCTCCAACAGTGAAATCATGTATTTCAGTAAAAAGAAATAAAATAAAAATACAGTCCCTTGTCATAGTTCATTTTTTAACCTTTTGTCTGACCCACTTAACCTTGATACTGTACTGAGGAATCTGCTACCGTCTCTTTCTGAAATCATAACATACCATCTAAAGTAACCAGAGTAGAAGTGAGTGGTGGGTGGCTTCTCAGTGAAACAGGAAGATTTTTTTTAAGTAGGTCAACAAGCTTTTAACATGGAAAAACAGTCGACATCCACAGGCTTTTGTTGGGTTTTTAATGTTTTTGTAACTCAGAACGGATTCTTCTCATTCTGTGTGTCAGTAACAGGAGGAGTGGGTGGTTAGTGGGCTGTCTCTGAGGGGGGATGAGCATCTGGTGAGGTTCCATGTTAACCCTCTACCATCATGCTTCTCATCCATCTTTCAATCACACAAGGCATGTCTTTATCGCACAGGCATACTGACCGATAAACAAGCTTGTAACCATAGGGTTTCTATATGTACTAATTTATTTTATCTAGTACTTTTTCCACTACCACAGTCTAGCTCTGTATCCCACAACCTCTGAAATCATAAAGTGTATCATTATTTCCCTGAGGATATTTTGCTTCCACATATTAAAGCCTACTTTACGAACCTTGTAATGATATGTATATCAATAAATTATTTACAAAGGATGTGTGTGTGTGATGCGTGTGTGTATGAGTGCAATCATGCACACCTGTGACCTAGACTGGGGCAGGATTGTGGTGCTCATGCTCTGTGTGCTGCTCATGCTGAAGTTGAGGCTCTGGGACGAGGTGAGGGACTGAGTTGGCCCCATCAAGTCAAACAGGTCTGCTGAGGCAGGACCAGAGCCTGAAGCCGAGATTGGGGCGGGGGCCGGGGCAGCGGCAGGACCTGCTGCCATGGCTCCAAAAAGGTCACTTCCGCTGTTGTCAACAGTCTGAGCAGATGCTGGCATCTGACCTCCAGGGAAGGCATTCCACTCTCCAAAGTCTCCATTGCTGCTGGAGGCTGGCACTGCTGCACCAAGAAAAAAAACAAGACAGTTGAATTTTTATCTTTGCCACCCAAACAGTGATGTTTGTATTGTGAGCTGTGTAAATAATTGCAAGGTGTTGCAAAAAGCTAACTTGAACCTGTCATAGCAATTAGGAATTAAC